CATGGGCAGTATAAAGGTTCTGATGGTCTAATAGACAAATTTGATGAAATGAGGATCTTTACAGTTCGTTCAGACGAAAGTCTTGAAAAAACTCTAAATGACTTTCAAACTCAAATAAACAAATATTATTGGGAATTTCAAGAAAAATACGACTCTTTACTAAATGGAACATACTATCTGAAACTAGAATATGACAAGATGAACTCCACCGTTTCATTTCAAAAGATTGAAATTAACCCTCCAAGAGATACAGAGTTTTTATTTTGGCAAGTAGACAAACGTTCTTGGGCACAATTTCTTCGGTTACTAAACCAGAACGAACCATTACCACCAGATGGTCCATTTAAATTTATACTTCCACCAGCAGATTTGACAGTTTATAGAAATGTGTTTGACCCTCAAAATGTTATGTGTCATGCAAGTTTCAGTTCAAGCAACAATAGTTTTCTATGTATCGGTAAGGACTTTTATGACTTTGCTTCTAAATTCTACGAACCACCTAGTAACAGTTTCTCTGACTTTCAAGTTTGGTTCACAACAAATGGTGTGCAGCATATTATACCATTGTACTATGACTTTTATCTCGAATTGTCTTTCATATATAACTACGGAAAAGTGCTGAAAAAGTATTGAAAAATATATTTTAGGTGAAGTGGTGCGATCTCACCTCTTTTTTCACCTGTTTTTTCACCCGTTGAATTTTCATGAATTTCCTTAAGATAGAAAAAAAGTGAGTTAAAATGAGATGTTTACTGAGGGGGTCCCTCGGTCCCTCGGTCAACTAACATCTTTTTGAAAATGGTGACAACATGACATTTTGACAACAGTCGGGAAAATGTCAAGACTTCTTCATCGTAACGAGTGTAAATGAACCAAAAATATATTTTAGGTGAAGAGGTGAGATCTCACCTGTTTTCTCACCTCTTTTCTCACCCGTTGAATTTTCATGAAATTTGGTCATTTTTCAGCAAAAATATATTTTAGGGTAGAAGGTTAGATCTAACCTGTTTTCTAACCTGTTTTCTACCCTCTTGAATTTTCATGATTTCATCGTATATGCTTTGTCAAACATGAACGTACATGCTTTGTCAAGACTTCTTCGTAAATGTTTTGTCAAGACTTCTTCGTAATGAGTGTAAAGGACCCAAAAATATAATTTAGGGTAGAAGGTTAGATCTAACCTGTTTTCTAACCTGTTTTCTACCCTCTTGAATTTTCATGATTTCATCGTATATGCTTTGTCAAACATGAACGTACATGCTTTCAAGACTTCTTCGTAAATGTTTTGTCAAGACTTCTTCGTAATGAGTGTAAAGGACCCAAAAATATAATTTAGGGTAGAAGGTTAGATCTAACCTGTTTTCTAACCTGTTTTCTACCCTCTTGAATTTTCATGATTTCATCGTATATGCTTTGTCAAACATGAACGTACATGCTTTGTCAAGACTTCTTCGTAAATGTTTTGTCAAGGTTTCATCGTACATGTTTTGTCATGACTTCATCGTATATGTTTTGTCAAGGTTTCATCGTACATGCTTTGTCAAGACTTCTTCGTAAATGTTTTGTCAAGGTTTCATCGTAAATGTTTTGTCAAGGTTTCATCGTACATGTTTTGTCATGACTTCATCGTAATGAGTGTAAAGGACCCAAAAATATAATTTAGGGTAGAAGGTTAGATCTAACCTGTTTTCTAACCTGTTTTCTACCCTCTTGAATTTTCATGATTTCATCGTATATGTTTTTGTCAAGGTTTCATCGTAAATGTTTTGTCAAGGTTTCATCGTACATGTTTTGTCATGACTTCATCGTAATGAGTGTAAAGGACCCAAAAATATAATTTAGGGTAGAAGGTTAGATCTAACCTGTTTTCTAACCTGTTTTCTACCCTCTTGAATTTTCATGATTTCATCGTATATGTTTTTGTCAAGGTTTCATCGTAAATGTTTTGTCAAGGTTTCATCGTACATGTTTTGTCATGACTTCTTCGTAAATGTTTTGTCAAGGTTTCATCGTATTCTTTCACCCGTTGAATTTTGTATAAAAAGCAACCCGCTGTTTTCCGGCGGTTGGTATATTCTTCACAAAATGCTTGTTTTGAGGTCGAGCCACTTTTGGTTCACCGTATTTTTCAACCAAAACTCATGAATTTTCCCGAAATAAAAAATAAAGTTAGTTTTTTTAAAAAAATATTTTTTATTTTTATTGTAAGAACATGTTAGCAACAACAGCACCAAACTCGTTAGTCATGAACCCAACATCTATGTTAGTTGAGATGAAAAGCTTCATTCCTTCTTCATATACTTTCGAAACAGAAATCCAGAAGATAAAGCAGGAACTTCTCCAAGGAGATTTAGATTGCACTGCAAAAGATGAAACAAATGAAGAATATCTTTATGAAATGCAGGACATTATTGACCATCTACCTAAACTTCCTGAAATACAGCAACAAAAGCTCACTATTCCAGAATTCGATGAAATAGAAGTGAAACCAACTGACTCAGTAGAAATAAAGAAGTTCATACGTAAGGTAAACTATGAGTTTCTTGGATTTCATTGCAACCACAAAGTCATGGACAAAGACTGCGATATGGTATATAAGAACATCTCTGACATATATAAATCGGAGGAGTTTAAGACCTACGACAACTTTGTTTCGTTAGTTGCTGAATGTGTATGGCAGATAAGAGATAAAGATAAAAGATGTAAAATATGGAACGAACAAATAAAACCAGCAACTTTTGAGTTAAAGAAAACCATTGACGCTATAGTTGTACTTGCAGGTCAAATTTCAATGTACAATGCAAAAATGAACCCACAATGTTCTAAATGTAAAGCAGCAATAAGAAAATATAACTACTCCGTCAAAGAGATAGAACGTATGAGAAACGACTATGCAGACTTAAAGAAAGAAGCAGAAAAGCCAGCAGAAAACAAAATGGACATGTTAGCATTTCTAAACAAAAACTATCCAACAGCTGACGATTTCCTTCTTTCAGATGTCAAGAAGAAATATAAAGATACATTCAATATTGTGAAAACTTTTGACATACTGACAGAAGAAATAGAAGCTACGAAATTGTTTAGAATTTCAAATATACATCGTACAATTCATGTAAAACGCTTATAAAAAAAAGAGGTGAGAAAACAGGTGAAAAAACGGGTGAGATCTCACCTCTTCACCTAAAATATATTTTTGTCTGATTTACGCTCATATACGATGAAGTTTTGACAAAACATATACGATGAAATCATGAAAATTCAAGAGGTGAAAAAAGAGGTGAGAAAACAGGTGAGATCGCACCTCTTCACCTAAAATATATTTTTGTCTGATTTACACTCATGTTTGACAAAACATTTACGCTCATTTCGATGAAGTCATGACAAAACATATACGAAGAAGTCTTGACAAAACATTTACGAAGAAGTCTTGACAAAACATGTACGATGAAATCATGAAAATTCAAGAGGTGAAAAAACAGGTGAAAAAGGAGGTGAGATCGCACCTCTTCACCTAAAATATATTTTTGTCTGATTTACGCTCATTTCGAAGAAGTCTTGACAAAACATTTACGCTCATTTCGATGAAGTCATGACAAAACATATACGAAGAAGTTTATTTCCTGTGTTGTTGTCAAAATGTCATGTTGTCACCATTTTCAAAAAGATGTTAGTTGACCGAGGGACCGAGGGACCGAGGGACCTGGTCGCCTAAAATATATTTTTGCCGAGTAAAATGACCAAATTTCATGATATAACTGTTATTTTTTTACGAAGTGAACTTTAACACTTCGTAAAAAAATCCCTGAAATCATATCTTTTATACATGAAAATCGTAAAAAATTGCGAGTACGGAAAAAAACCTGGTCGCCTAAAACTCATGAAAATCGTGAAAAAATGACCAAATTTCATTATATAACTGTTATTTTTTTACGAAGAGAACTTTAACACTTCGTAAAAAAATCCCTGAAATCGTAAAAAAATGACCAAATTTCATGAATTTCCTTAAGATACAAGATAGAAAAAATAAAGTTAGTTTTTAAAAAAAAATTTTTTTTATTTTGTATGTAAGAAACAGAAAATGACAAACATTGAGTTTGAAACAGTTAAAAAGATAGACAATGACACCAAAGTGGTTAGAATAGGTGATTTAAACGTAAGATACTCAAAGAAATACAAGAAATATTCTTTGTCAGACATTATATCTCCATCTGGAAAGAAAACATCCCACGACTGGGTTAAAAATGCTTCTAGTCAGAAAATTTTGACAAGAAATCCTGAGCTTATGATATCAGTAGCATTCTATGGAACAAGAGCATATCTTATAGACAAAAGTCTTATACCAATAGTTTTGTTATGGTTAGACCCAGTTGTTGGATATAACTTCATAACATATGGTTCATTCGATACGGAACGTTGCAGTGAAGGCTTACTTTACATCGTTCAGAAACCGAAGGACTTCAATACAAAGAGATATAAGATAGGAAGAACATATAATATAACTCAAAGATATGACAGTATAGTCAATAAAGTTAAGGTTGTGTTTGTTAACGATATGAGAGCTGCAGAAACAGAACTACTTGAAAAGTTTGAGAAAATTTATGGTGCTCCCACGAAAGGTAAAGAAACGTTTGAAGTAGATGAGATAGGTAAAGCTATAAAATTATTTGACGAAGTTGCTGAAAAATACATGTAAAGCGTTTATTTTTGGTCTTTTGTGAAAGTCAGAAAATAACGCTAATTTTTTATAAAATATTTTTTTTATCCGGAATATAAGGACAGATATGACAACAACAGAGAACACAACAACTGCTATCGTTCATGAAGACATAAATGAAGAATATGAGTGGGTTCAGTTTAACAAACAGTTACGTCTCATTCGTTCGGTCAAAGACGACATGTACCAAATGCAAAGTATTTTGAATGCTCTTCGTTCTACAAAGCAAGCATTTCATTGGTTTGAAAACCAACAGACAAAAGAACTTTTAGAAGAATTTCCTCATATGTTTGCGTTCCTCGAAAAACCGAGGAACGAGATTCCATACGAAAATCGTAAAAATTTGCCAAATGGTTTGAAAGGATATTATATTCATAGACTTTTAGTAAATGCTGTTGCAATGTGGGCTTCACCTCGTTACGCTTGTTATATTTTCATGATGTTAGATGAAATTCATAGACAAGAACGTGAAGAGCTAGAGAACAAGCTTGAAGCAAAAGATGAAGTCATTGAAGCAAAAGACAAAAGCATTCAGAAAAGAATACCACGTTCGGTACCAAAAGGAAAGGAAAAGAACTATAAGTATATGATTTATACTGAAGAGATGGAAAATGAAGAAGATAAAGATATGGTTATGTTGCATTTAGTCAGAAGAAACAACAAAAGCTTTTACGACCTTGCTAAGATTTACAAATCTGACAGAAATTGGTTCTATCGCGAAAACTTACCGATTTCAATGACACCAAATGAAGATGTGAAACAAATAGTTCAAGATACTTTACCTCAAACACACTATGATATTAAAGGTTGTACAATACTTACCTTCAAAGAAGATTTGCCGCTACTGAAAGAAAAAATAACAGAGTATTTTGACAACTTCAAACAAGCAGAGTAAATGAACCATTTATTTTTGGTCTTGACTTCAGATGGCTCAGGTAGCTCTATAAGGTAAATTGTCTTGTCAAATCCTTCTGGCATTCCGAGTCCTTCCTTCCGACAGGAAAAAAATTTCCTTCCGACAGGAAGAACTCTTCCTTCCGACAGGAAAAAATTTTCCTTCCGACAGGAAGAACTCTTCCTTCCGACAGGAAAAAATTTTCCTTCCAACAGGAAAAAATTTTCCTTCCAACAGGAAAAAATTTTCCTTCCGACAGGAAAAAATTTTCCTTCCAACAGGAAAAATTTTTCCAGTTGTCCGTCCGTAAACCATTCAAATTTTCGAAAATTGAGAACTTTTTGGTCGAACTTCAGAAAAAGTTTTTCCTTCCGACAGGAAAAAATTTTCCTTCCGACAGGAAAAAATTTTCCTTCCAACAGGAAAAAATTTTCCTTCCGACAGGAAGAACTCTTCCTTCCAACAGGAAAATATTTTCCTTCCGACAGGACACAAACGGATGACTGACGTACCACCAACCGAGTCCATTCCAAAGCCAGAAGAACCGAAAGCTGCAGAACCACAACAGACTAAGACTAAACACTTACATTTTTTACGCTTGACTTTTTACAATTTGAACTTTGTTTGCGTAGATGTGAATTCTGAAAGAAGTATGAGGGTCTTGTATGACTTTGTACCTCTCCCATAGTTCATGTCTGTCAAACTTACCTGCCATGGACTCTTTCATAAGTTCCATGAAATCGTCTTCGGACAATCCGGGGAAAAGTACAATGTCAGTAAGTATTCTCTTTACATCCTTACTTAAACTCTTGGCTGTCTGTACACAAATGACAACTGAGATGTTAAAGTGTCTGAGCTTCTTAAGAATTCGACACATATCTTGTTCTCTATTCTTTAACAAAGGATGAGAAGCAAAGTCATCTAAGATAAGAAGACACCTATGAGGGTACGTTTTCCAATCGTAAGATTGCAATTTCTTCGAAATGTATTCTATCTCTTTCTGTTTGTTTCTGAAGTGTTTCTTCTCTAATATTCTCTGCATTTCCTCATTTGGGTCTTTAAACTTAGAATTTATATACTCATTTATAGCATTGTACTTCAAAACCCTTCTTTGGTACTTCTTTATCCAATCTAACAACTCAGAGTCTTTTATACATACTAACTTAGACTTCTTTATAATATCTTTGAACGAATTGACGGTTTGGTCAAATTGACCCGAAGTACTACAAATGACAACTAACTCATAGAATGGGTTCTTCTCATCTAGTTCTTGTTGTTGTGCAGCCATTTTAAGATAAGTGAAAGTCTTACCCGACCCAGGTGGTGCAATTAGACCTGTTATACCATTCTGAGCAAATAAGAACTTGTCATGTATAGGCTTTATCTGAGCATTTTCCAACTTCCTCTTGTTCTTGTTTAAAACATTCTCAAATTTTTTGTCAATGTCAGCAAACTTTTTTTCTAACATATTTTTAGAAAAATTAAAATTTTTATCTTTTAGAAAATGTCTAGTGATTTCGCTATCTATATTCGAGACAAGCTTTTCGACAGCAAAACATCTGTAGACCATAAAATCTTACATAGTGTAAACAAGAAAGGTGAATTTGTTCTAAAGTTCTGTTTCTGGGAATATGACAAGAACCATAAAACATTAAGCAGAGAAGTCTTAAAATTTGTCAATGACAGACTTGTTGACAGAGATGACGCCTCTTGGAGAGATGAAGTCCAACAAAACTTCTTAGAATGCAAAGAAGACACATGCACTGTTCTTGAAGATGAAATAGAAAACAGAATAGAAGAGCTATTAAAGGACAAAGAACTTTTACAAAAAATATGGTTCTGAGAAGTTTGACATAACTCCACCAGAAAAGAAGAAGAGAGAAAAGAAAGAAAAGAAAGTAGAAGAAGAGAAGAAAGAACCTGAACCAGTTCCAGAGAAGGGGAGATATGACATGTAAAAATAAAATTTTATTTTTAGAACATTTCTGGGTCAATGTCAATGTTCTCTTCCTCTTTAGGAGCAAACACTGGCTTAGACTCTAAAATCTTTTTACCCAATTTACCTTGAACTTCTACAACTTTAGACTCATAATATTCATAGTCGTCTGCTTTCTTTGGTTCATAAGGTATAACAAGTTTGTATGCTTTGCCTTCTTTAAGGTTTGAGAACCTTCTGTCAAAACTTTCTTTGACTGTTAACAAACCTTCTATGTCTAAGTCTTCAAATTTCGCACCATTTTTAGTCACAATAGCAAACTTAACTGGTTCGATGTTCCAAACTTTGCTGAATGAAGACTTTTCAAAATGGTAGAAGTAAACATTCAAATATGTGAATGGGTCTAGTTCTTCTTTAAGTCCTGACATGTACTTATTTACTGAGATGAATTTGTCATCTTTTCTATCGGATAAAAAAATATTTTTTTTTAAAATTTACTCAGAAAAATTTTTCTTTGTATATACACCATTCTGAACATCTAAAAGACTTTTGACATTTGCCAAGAATGTTCGTTTAGAAGCTGTCATATAACCATATTCTTGACAATATTGTTTATACGAATCGTACAATGACCTTTCATCTAATGACACAAAGTCAGTTTCATCTATGAACAGTTCATATACACTCTTGTTTGCTTCTAACAATGTTTGTCTCTCTTCGGTATGTGGAATTTGTCTTGGATTGAACTTAGAAATATCTAATGTCATGAAATATGAGAACAAGTGGTTGTAAAAGTCAGATGTCAAAGTTTCTGCTAAGTCGTCAAAATATTCTGTATCTTGCATATGAGAATCTGACGTTCTGACAACTACATATCTTCTGTCAGAACTTTCTAACTTCATCGGAACAACATTGTTTGAAACCATAATGAAGTTTGCAACATTTTCACAAACTCTTTGGTCTTTATACTTTCTTTCAACAACTCCAACTTTGTCTGTTATAAGACTCTTCAAAGCATCTGAGTTCAAAACTTTTGTTGTATCTATACTTTGAAGTTCATTGCAAACTATAAGTTTCATATTCTCTATTGAGGAGTTAAACTTGCCACAGATGTTTTCTAAGTTTGTCATATTCGGATTCGAATAACCTTCTAACAGTTTGCACAAGATATCTGTAAAGAATGTGTTCTTACCTGTTCCTTGTTTTCCAATTATAATGAGAGCAGTTTCATTTTTAGCACTTGGATGTTGTAAGATGTTTGCAAACCAACATAAGATATACTCATAAACCTTTTCGTTTCCATTGCATATAATTTCTTTGACATGGTCTAACCAAGCTTCTATAATACTGTGTTTCCATTCTACTTGTTCATATTTATATCCAGTGAAGATAGAATAGAAGTTTGGAGAAGGTGTATAAAACTTTATACCACGAACTGAAAAATCTTCAAGTTTTGACAATAAGATATCCCAAGCATCTAACATCTTCATTCCAACTTGTACAACTTTTATTTTCTTAAGTTTCTGTCTACATTCTTGTTCAGACACTATTGTTGCTCTTGGTTTGTTAAAGACAACATCCCATTCTTTCATGACATAACATTCTGGGGCAGAGTCGACATAAATGACTAAACGTTTCAAATTCTCGACTGCTTTGTTATAGTCTCGAAATGGACACATATTTCTGAATGCTTGGAAGTCATAAAAATCTGAAACATCTATTCTGTACATTTTTATAAAAATAAAAAAAATATTATTTTTTTATTCTTGACTTTGTTGTTCCATTTGTTGCATTTGTTGTTCTTGAGCTATTTGTTGTTGAAGTTGTTCTTGTAATACAATACTTTCACCAGTTGCATCTTCCAATTCGAAACTTTCTGCCGTCATTGACAAATACATAGGACATAAAAGTTTTACAGGAACAAAGTTTGCGTCAACTAATGTCAACGTTATACTTGCCAAAGTGTTTGAGTTCACTAAGGTTGAAAATTCTGCATTCGAATGAACAATAGGCAAACCAGCAGAGAAAGTATTGTTTATACGCATAAGTATCTTTTGGTCATAATAGTTTCTGTCGACATTCGAATAACACTTTGAACCTAAGTTTGAAACAATATATAAAATAGGTGTGCTTAAAGTCAATGGAACAGACATTCCTTGTATGACACCTTTCCTGTTATAGGAAACTGTTGGTAGTAAAAACCAGAAATAAGTTTTGTATTATAGCTCATATCGTTTATAGTAAACTCAGTCGGACATCCAAACATAATGAAACCTGCTCTAGTTGCAGCACATGTTACACCCGTACTTAAAGTATTAAATAAGTCAACAAACCTGTTGGTGGTATATCTGAGTAAGTATCTTCAAAGGAGTATTTTTTACCATTCACAACAATAAAGTCTTCTGGTGTCAAAAGAGCAAAACAGGCTTTAGTCGTCATTGTGTTTAAGGTTAGTTTACAATATCGTCCTTGAGGACTTTGTAAGTTTGTTGTTATAGAATTATATGACTCAGGGTTTTTAGTCGTAATAGTATAAACCATTATGTCTTCTGCCATTTACTTAGCAAATAAACTTTAATGAAATGTTGTGGTCGTCAAATATTTTTATAACGTCTGGGAAACTATACTTTAAGTTCAACGTTTCACCTCCTTTCATAACGTATATCTTGTCAATGACATTATATGAAACACCACAGCAACTAATGTCGGGTTCTATTTCTTTGATGTTTATATCGTCTGCCTCTGTCAAAAGTTTCAATAGTTCTTTCAAAACTTCATGAGGTGCAATGACATATGAGTTCACTTTTACAGGGTTGTGTTCGACCAAGTTTAACATTATACCTAAAGCTTGACAAATCTTCTCCTGAGTTTGAAGTTTGTTTTTCAGTTGTTGGTAGTCGTTTCGAATATCTGCAACAGAACTTAAGTCTCTGCTAACTTCAGGGTATGTTGGTTGTTCTTTTACAGGAACAATTGTTATACCATCTTCGTCTTCGTATGGTTTCCCCACTTCAACATCTCTTTCTTTGACATTGACAATAACACTTTGACTGTTTGTTTGAGTTGGTGAATTTAACTTCACATCTGCCACCGCCATTAAACCTTTTGAAACACTTACGCTTCTATTTTTCGGAAATGACATTTTACTTAGAATAAAAAGATGGACGTATTCGGATATCTCTTCGAATTGAAGCAAAACAAAGTTTACACACACAAACAATACAAATACATTGACAGAATAGTTCTTTATACAAACAATGGAAAATGTTATAGAATAGCAGTCTTTGCTGAACCAAAATATTTTCATAAAGCAAAGAAAGTTGGTATAACCGAAATGGTGAAAGTTCTTGAAGCAGACAAAAATATAACAACAAAACTTACAGATATTTCTAAAGGAAAGTTTATAATACAATTTTATGTCAAAACTGGCGTACTGTCAATATTTGACGGAGAGAAGTCAGTTCAAGAACAACTTACTGACCTGCTGCCAAAATCTGCTCGATGGAAGCTGTCGTTATGCCAATCTGAGGAGCCCCAGCAGGTTTCATCGAACGAATCTTCAAAAGAGCATCTTCCGTGAAAAGTGCTATTGGTTTTGTAAACTTCTTTGCTCTCAGTTCATATGGACCGTCTCTGTCACCAGTATATTGTATTTGAACTGTACCAACAGTTGAAATACCACCATAAAGTCTTCTGAGTCAGCAAATGGAATGCCAAGCCAAAAGTTTGAACGGTCTCCATTTGTATATTGAGTTTTTTGACTTCCTGTATGGGTCCATACTTTCACATATGGCATAATAGAACTTTGCATTTCAGGGTTAATGGTTGTTGTGAAGTTGTTGTTAAAGTTCATAGCATCTAATGTCAAGTTGTATGACCTCATATCCTCAACTGTAGAATATTCTTCTCTTGGATAATATTTGCCATCTATGTTTATATGATATTTAATACCGGGGTTGTAGAAACAAGAATAGTCATTTATAGTTCGTCTGAACAGTACAAACATAGTATCTGCGTGTTTCATTGCAGTTGTTAAGCAATATCTGTTCTTGCACCTGCGGTTCCTGGATTTTGGTTTCCAACTTCACCTGCAAAGTCTTTGACAGATATTTGGTGTATAGGGAACATAAGTGGAACTGCAATATATTTGGCAGCTAAAGCATTTGAAATATCTGGGTCCAACATATAGACTGCAAGTCTGCTTTCTATTCTCTTGCATTCAAATTTTTCGCATGTGAACTTAACTGGGTCCCAAGCAGTTCCAGCAGCATTGAAATAATAGTTTACTTCAGTGTTGAGGTTTGAGAAACCAAAGTCTAAGTCAACTTTGTCTTTGCAAAAGTCGGCGAATGACGTTTTATTTGTTCCACTACTTCTGTAAGAGTGAATGGGTCTTGTGTTGGTGCAATGACTAAGTTATTTTTGCTTGGAGTAAGTTCAATAGAAATTTTTCCTGCCCAGTTTGGCAAGTATCTTAAAAACCTGAAGATGAGGAAAGATGACAAAGGAACTCTAAGTTTCAGTTTTACTTTAGTGGCAGCATTTCCATCTGAACCAGAAAGGTTAACATAAACTCCTGGAACGTTAGGGTCAAGTCTTCTTATTTTCTCAATATTTGCATACTGGTCTGTTTGTTCTCTAGCTTGTGGTTGTACTGAGTTTCTCAAGCGAACCATTCATAGTTTGCCCATGTTACTGTTTGAACTAAGTCAGAGTTAGAATATATCTTATATCCCATGAAAACTTCTGGAGCATATTGGTATCCGACATAGAAAATTCCATTGCAACCTTTCTTGTCAGACAACCTGGCAGAAGGTTTTATTTCAATGTCTTGTTCCACGTATAAGAATGAGTTGTCAATAGAAATTATATGAAACCTGTCGCAAGCAATATCTACTGTTGTTGAAGAACCTTCACCAAACTCACCTACGTTTCCATAAGAAACAGCAGTTGTATATTCGTAAGTTCCAGGAACTATTTCTGACCTTCTAATGGCATTGTCGCATTCGTTATACCATTCGGAAACATTTCCATTCATGGCATCCAAAACTGTTGGCGTTAATTCTGAGCGGCGTAATTTCATATGGGTAAAAATATAGAATAGTTGAATTTATGTGTCATAATAGAACCCACGTGGACCAAGCTTTACTTTCTTCCTGGCTGAGTTTTTAACTCTTCTTTTTCCTTCATTGCCACTACTTTCACTTTGTTCTTCACTACTTTCACTTTGTTTACTCTTCTCTTCTTCTTTGGTGTCGCTTTTGGTAACTTGCCCTCTGCTTCAAGTTGTTGCATCTTTGCCTCATGTTCACCTAGTATGTTGTAAATTTCCCATGTCCTTTTTGCCTTTGGGCTCTGGTCGCCCATCTCAGGTAACCTACATCCTAGAAAGATTTTGTCATAGTTTGTATTTGAGTCTTCGCGTATTGTTTGCATGACTCTTTCCTGAGTTTCCGGTTCAAGCTCTTCAAACAGAGCTTGTCCATATGGAATAAGCTCGTTTCCAAATATATGTTTTTGTAGCCATTCTGGTTTTCTTTCCATGTTACCAACAATATCTTTTGTGAATGGGAAAGCTTTTACCCAATGTTTCAGTCTTGCGTCATTTATTTCTGTAGTTGGTTTTATTTTGTCAAGGAACATGTTTTTCAATACTAACATTTCATTTGGTACTGTCCATTTGAGTTTTTCTTAAATATTCATCCCTTCTCATTTCATCGTCTGCAAAGTAAGTTTTTATGACATTTTGTAAACTTTCGTTTGCAAGGTCATGTACAATAGGTTCTCTTCCTTCTCTCTCCCTAACTCTCTTTCTAAACTCTTCACCAATATACCATCTCTATGGTTCTGTGTAGTTCTTTGAGATAAATGTTTTAGAACGTCAGGTGTTATATTTCCATCAGCCATGTTCATTTCATACTGGTCCAAAATATCTGCATGTTTCATATCTTTCAATGGCATTAAAGCCGCGCTGAAAATACCAGCTAAATCTGGTTCACCATTCACTTCCATTGCGTCTACAACTTCTTGAATTGTGGTTGTAAGTTTATGAACCACCTATCCGGGTTAGCTTTATGACCCCATCTCATTGTAGTTCCATAGTCTGCAGAAATAAAAGTAGGTTTGTTTCCATATTGGCTAGGTTCTGAATGAACTTTAAACAATGTTTCATTTCTATATGTTTTGTTGAAATTTAACCTTTTATTTTCACCGAGTTCATCCAAAGATTGAACGTTATATGCTCGTAAGTAAAAAGGGTTGTTGTATTTGTGTACATTTTCTTTCAGTTCTTCCATTCTATGCTGAATATTTTCATCTGATGTTGGAGTCTTTTGTATGTCGGCAAACATTTTTCGATATTCTTCTACTATGTCAGCCGAATTTTTCTTAGACTCTTGGAAAGATTCCATATTCACCTCATACTCTTGTTGAGGGTCAAGATTTTTCGGCTGTTCCAAATCTTCATCTAGTTCTGTGAAGTTAGTTTCCAAAGGAGGGACTTGTTCGTTTCCTTCAGGCTCTTCTAGCTGTTGTTGCTGAACTATTTCTTCCATGTCTGGTTGTATCTGAACTTCTTCCTGTGGAGTTTCTTGTACCTCATCTGCTGGCATTTCATATATTCCGAGACCGTTTTTAACAAGTTCCCTATCTAAGTCATCCGGACTCATAAACCTTTCTTCTTTCGTTCCGTCTTTATTTTTTACGCGTTTCATGAAGAGAGTTGAATTGTCATTTAGCTCTGACACCAAATATCTCGGAGTAAATTCAGTCATGTCATTTGGATGATATGCTATTAAATCATATCCCTTAGCGAGTTTGTATTTTCCAGGTTTGAAATTATATCCCATTTGGTGCTGAGCCATAAAGCTAAATAGGTTCGGGTCAGTATTTCCTTCCTTGAACTTTCTAATAGCTTCTTTATATCTGTCACTAAAGTCAAGAGTAGCTGGGTAACCATAGTCTTCTTTAAGCATTTTTAAGAATTCTTGGTTTCCTTGTTCTCTACTTCTTTTATGTCCTTGCTCTGTTTGTGGTTGTTGTTGTGCAGGGTTTTGAACTGTTGGTTGCTGTGCTGGTTGTGGAGGTTGTTGTTGTGCAGGGTTTTGAACTGTTGGTTGTTGTGTAGTGTTTTGAACTGTTGGTTGTGGTGCTGGATTTTGAACTGTTGGTTGTGGTGCTGGATTTTGAACTGTTGGTTGTTGTGTTGGTTTTGGTGCATGCCTGTGTCTGTGTCCATGTGACGATGTAAATGTTTTAGGTAGTCCTGGTGCAGGTGCTTCTCTTGGAGGGTTTGGTGGTATATAAGTTCCACCAGCTGGCACATATGTTCCATCTGCAGCATAATGTCCTACCTGACTTTTCGTTTTTAAGAAAGCATTTACTAGGTCTGTTTTGGTCTGTTGTAACTCTTTTTCTTGACTTTCCACAACAGTTGCTCTAACGGCGTCATAGGCACTTTGAACTGCCTGTCTCGTTGCTGCATCTGTTATTTTCGCCATATTTTGTGCTACTTCTTTTAACTCTTTGTCGAAACCTTCAGACTTCAGTTTCTTTCCAGATGAGAAGTCGTTCACTAGTTTCACCTTACTATGAAGAGCTTCGAAGGCGTTCTTAAAGTCAGCATTCAATAAAGCTTCATTTGAACTGTCTTCATCCGCTTGTATTTTTGTCCTTATTGACCCTATAAGTTGGGCTGCTTTAGCGTTGGCTTGGGCATCTAACCAGTCATTGTTAGCTTTTATATATTCTGCGCTTTTCATTGCCTTTTGCATGGCTGCGTCGTTATTTTTACTTTCTTGTGCTAAGTTTTCATACTGTACGGTTTGGTTTTGCAACTGTAAAAGTTTTTCTGCCTTTACATTTGCTTCAACTTCTTTTTTATACTCATCGCTATCCATATATGTCTTCAGGGCTTTTTGTTTTATCTCTTCATCTTTCAGTACTTTATATTGAGTAGTATGGTTTTTCAAATTTATAACATCTTGTTCCATTTTGCTACTTCTGCTGCTTTTTCTGACACTTTTTTCGTATATTCCTCTGTACTTAGTTCTTTCAGTTGTTCTTCTTTCTTCTTTTTCTCTACGTTTAACTCATTTAGTTTCTTTGTGTGTCTGTCATATTCTAGTTTCTTTTCGTTTTCACTTATTTGTTTCTGTATGTCTATGTTTGACTTTTTGACATCTGTTATTTGATTTTTGAGTGAACTCAAATTCATTTGACTTTGAGGGTTATAAGCTGTTCCGTCTGCAGCTCCACCATAGCCTGCCATTTTTGCTAAAAGTGCCGCTCTTAAACCTCCACTCTGTGCACCAAAAACTCGGTTTAAAAGCATAGGATTGCTTGACATTTGTTGCAACATAGTGGGGTCATTCATTATTTGTTGTTGCAACTGTTGTTGTGGTGTCAGTTTTACTATTGGATGTTTCAATGCTCTCTTCCTCTGACGTATATTCTTACGTAGCTTACGTGGCATTTTAAGTGAAGTTAAAAAGCGGTTTTCGACAGATTTTTATATGACACTATTTGTTCAGCACAAAAAACTACTCGGTCAAAGTGTTGTCAGTTTTGTAAAATAACCGTCCTATCTCATTCTATAAGGGGAAAAAGTCTTCTCAAAGTATACTTCCTTGGAACGCCCGTAACTTTTCCTGTAGTGACGATAGACCCTTACTTGTCCGGACAAAGTTATACTAAACATCTTCAGGGCTAGAGGGCACGAAGTGCCTGGAGGCCCCACTACCTTTTTTTTTTTTTTTTTTGAATTTATATACTATTCATCTATTAGTAAACACTACCGTATATTATTTTTTAAGCTATCTTATTTTTTGAAATTTTATTCAAATCTTTGGTCGCAAGAAGAATTGCATGATAAATAAAAACATTTAATCAAAGTCAATTTTATTTTTCATATTCAAATGGACTGAGTGTTAACATTTAACATTTTTTGCTAATTGTCGTCAAAAATTAGGCGTAAAGCAAAAATTGATATTTCATATGGTTTTATGATAGATAAGCATTATATTCCCACTCATTATATTCGTAAATTTTGAGGTTTATCCTTCGCTTTTAAGATCATTGAATTTGATTTTTATATAAAATAGTTATATATTAGAAAATAATATGAGTTTATGTGATATTATTTTTCAGAAGATTTTGTGTTCTTCTTCAAAATTTTATTTTTTATTAAAAAGAATCTTTACAAAATATACATTTACTTTAATTAATATTTAAAAACGTGCTCTATCAAAAGTTCCAAAAATTCAATATTTTAGCTTTTCTGAGGTGTCACTTTTGATGAATTTCTGTTTACAACAATACCTCCCCACTGTATGAACTCCACCAACATTTTATGAGCGATTGAATTGAAGTTCATTAAAATTTGACGCTTCATAGTTATAAGCAAATTCCTTTTAAGGATAATTCTCCGTAGCATTTATGCATTTTCTTACCAAGAATATTTTGGATTGTAAAATAACCCTAAATATCAAATCACGAATCATAGCCAAAATGAGAGCTAAAACACGTTATACTTATTAACACTACAAAAGTCAAAACAATAATATTACATAAATTTTTTCTTTGCTGATTGTTTTTATTGTTAAATTTAGTTCCGAAGATGCTGCTTATGGACAACAGATATCACATTTGTTTCCATTTTCCAAATCTTATACATGTTTCCCGCAAATATTATCGAATGCAGCATTTCTCCAATAGCAAAACTCTGATATATGAAATCAATCATTGTACTATAAATAATTAATAGGAACGAGCAAGCGTTTTAACGTATGGTAGTCTAGGAAAAAATCAAACAATGGAACCGAAATTTGCTTGATTGTAAAATTTGAATGTTCATGATCTACTTAGTCTTAAGATTATATAATTGAAAAATTACTAGCGCAGCCATAAAAAACGATTAATCCATATTGAAACAACGATAACTGGCCATGTCACTTTTTATCAATTTTTTGTTCTTTTTGAAAAGATAAATTTATTTTATGTCAGAGAATCAAGTTTACAGTAGGACCTGTATGTCTTAGATAATCATGTTGTACGAAACAATCATTCAAATATTGATTTGGCTTGATGAAATAGAATGCCTTCTCAAAAATTAATCTATTCAATTTGCCATAAGTTAGAGAATTCAAATCTACATATAGTTAGTATTCCGAATATCATGAAATCTTTTGAGAGGTTCCGCTATTCCGCTACATCTCAAACTCTCAATTTCTTTGAAATTATTCTGAGGATGACGGTCATATATAATTTTCAAATTTTCAGAACTGTATTTAAGTTTCATTTTTCATTATTTCATGGCTCTTGTTGCTACCCCACATCCCTTGCTTGTTCATGACATTGAGAAAGATACAGTACATATAAGTGATGACTTTAAAACAAGTATTCAATCTTTAATTGATACTTTAGAGATAAGATCAAAGCAAATATATTCAATTCAGAGTTTATCTTCAAAATTCCATTTCCATAAGAGAAGATTATATGATGTTCTTAATGTTTATGAATCAATTGGAATTTGCAAGAAATTGAGTGTTGATTCATTGCTATGGTTAGGATTTTCTAACATCCATCCAACGGTTAATAGCATTGCAATCCAGAATCATGTATTTGACAGTGATTTTAACATGGATGATCTTGCTTTATCAGACCCATGCATCACAATTGCTTTGCTGACACAGAGATTCTTATTGTTGTTCACAACTCTTAATTCCCACAGTCTTGATATCAAGCAATGCGCTAAGTATTTATCAATGAAGAATGATAAATACAAAACAACACTTTGCAAGTTGTATCAGATTACTTATATATTAGAGTCTTCGAATATTATCAGCAAGTCTCAGAAACCAGGAGAAGTTGTCTTATCCAAACAATACTTTGTTGAAGAGGCAACTGAAGAACCTTCTCCAATTGACATCTTCTCTGTCCAGTCACTTCTCAATAACCACGAAACTCCAAAGACATTATACACAGACAGAAGGAAACACTTTGAAGAAGAAACAATGACAGAGAGACAGAAGTACTTCTCCTTCCTTAGCAATGCATCTTTCTTACAACAGTTAGTTGCATAAGCTAATTTAATTTATATTATTGTTTTTATTTTGTTTTGTTATAAACATATATATATATTAAAATATATATGTTTATGGATCTTAAATCTCGGATGAGCCACATATTTTTAAAATATCATCTCGGATTCTTGCAATTTCATTTTCAAGATTTTGTTTTGAATTTATTCAGTGTGAGTCTATTCATTATATACTTTAGTCTATGCATATATGCATTTCTATCCGTTATTTCTTAATCAGTTCTTCGGACGAGAAAATACAAGTGTTAAAACTTCCTCTTACATATTTCAACATACGAGGGACTTCAAACTCTATTTTTTTACTAAGATATGATCCTGCAAACACCATTCTAACTAGGATTAACACTTTAGTCAAAAATTATGGCATAATCTGAATGAATTTTATGGCCTCTAATTTTCCTTTTTTCACGGTGATGGATTTGTTTTCAGTCAATATGAATATGCTGAATATATACATGGGTCCATATATATACATATCGATATAGAAAGTTTCCTACAAATCTTTTGAGATATCGTGATACAAGCATCTAAACAAACTCATCAATTGAAAAGGAATGAAAATAATGTTTTAAACTGTTGATTAACAAAAAAAGCATAATACACAATGAAAATAATGTTTTAAGCTATTGATTAACAGAAAAAGCATAATACACAATGAAGATAATACTATTTACTAGTCAATAAATACAAAATCATGAAAAATCAAAGAAAATTAATTCTTATTTTCCATAAAATGAGCTAAAATTGCTTTCAAACATGTGCATGAGTATTCCAGTGTTGTTGATATCTTAAGTTCTTCAAACGCTGATAAGAATTTGTGGAAAACAACAGGGGATGGAGTTGGATTCAAAGCAAAAACAGGAATTAAGAAGCCAAACAAGTCGTCAAAGCTCATGTCTAGAATCTTACTATTAATATTCATGGACTCCCTGATACCGTTCTGTATCTCAGAAATCACATTGTACATTGCAAACGCGATATCCAATGGATTGTTGAAGAACTGAACATTAATAATAGTCTCTATAGCATTGGCGAAATGGTTGGACATTCCGAAGATTTCTTTGGCCGGTTTTGACTTAAATGCGGCCGGATAAAGAGAAGTTTGGATTCCAAGGGTTTCTGGGGACTTCTTCAGAGAATTCTCTATGTTCATGAAGTATTTGACGGATTGGTAAGGAGAATAAAAAGGATTTCCCATCGTATTGTAATAAACATCGAATAAAATGCGAATGGAAGCGCATCTCATGGTTGTAAAGACTTTCTTATCTGTTTTGAAGTCACTGTTAAGGGCAATGAAGAAAAATTGGACAAATTGGTTAAATTCTTTGAAATTAAAGGTCTGAACTGTAGAAATATCCTGTTCGGCATCGAACATGACGGGAGGAGCAAGAAGTGAAGGAGCTGCATCATTTAATTGTACTTGAGGCTGCACATCAAACAAATTTGACTGGAAAAGCCTTTCATCACTAATAGATTCATCATTATCATCATCTTCTGCTGGTTTACCATCAGGATTTTCAGAAAACATCGGAAAATCTGGAATAAATTCAGCAGATTTTGTAGTTGAAAGTTTCTTTTCTTCAGGCTTTGGAAGTTGCTCAGTTTTGATTTGTAGATGAGGCATCTGCTTTGCAAATTGAACAAATTTCTTGATAAGACCGTTCTGTACTGCGTATAACATGAATTGTGTATCAAATTCATTTGGAGGAATGTAATTGATGGTTTCATCGGCATTCTGGGATACTCTATGAAGGGTCTCAAGGAGCTCACTAGCTTCAAGTTTCTTGTTTGAGCGAAGTAGAGCTTTTGCATAATTTCCAAGCGAAATAATCTTATAAGAAAGCTTTTTATCATCAGGAGGATCTTCCATTGTGATCTGTTTTGTGAATACTTCTCTCTTAAATGAGATTGGAGCATGACATCCAATACATTCTCTAAAGAATTGAAGTAAAGTAACAACTAAAGCATAGTTCTTCTGAAATCGTGTGAATCTACTATAATGATACTTGTAGAAGTACTTCTGGAACTTATGACGGGCATACTTAAATTGAGGCAATGAGCAATCATATTTTTTATTCTTTTCGCGGGAAATTTCTATGAGACATTTACTTTCTTTTTCAATTATTGCAGTGTATCGCTTTTTAACGGACTCTAAGTAGAAAAGATTGAGTTTATTACTTTCATAAGCTTGATTCATTTGAGCAGGAATCATTGGAACAGCATCGATATAATCGACAAGCTCAGGCTTAATAGGAGGTATCCGAACTTGCTGGTAATTCGGAGTTTTCGTAGCCATGTTCCAATCTAGAAATTCAGGGTTATTGCGCCAATTCAATTATTTTGAGAGGACCAACTTCGTGACCAACAGAAATATAATAAAAACATCCAAGTAACTAAAACGTAAATTTTTTGAAAATTGACGTAAATTACGTTGGAATCTGACCACGAAACAATGACCGAATGACAATTTTCGAGTTTGAATTATTTTGATACTATATATTCATCTGGATGCATTTGAATCAAGCATAAAACCTCTCGAAATCAGTTTTTTTTTCTTTCCAAATCATAGAATTTGGATCTCGATTCATATTCAAATGAGATACAACGTTATTATGCTAACTTAAAATAAGCAGGATAATCATGACTTCATATAGACTCAAGGAAAAACTTATAATATTTCTATCTTGTTTCAAATTTAAAGAATTATAGCAGCCTTTGTACGTATTGCACAAATTAACCAGATCCTACAAAGCATATTTAAAACAAGAAATCAATATTAAGAAATCTCAAAATTATCTGCAATAAGCAGTAATTCTTATAAAAAAATTGCTTATAAATATAAACTATATTCAAACAAAGTTTAGCAAGCCAATAGACTTAAATTTTCCTCAAACGTTCTCTTTGGCGTCTTCAAGAGCATATTTTGAATACTTTGAACAGGCCAAAAGTTGTATGGAGTATTCTGGAAGTTGTACAAACGATGAATTCGTTCAGCCACTTTCTTATGTTCAGGGTAATTGATTTCGCTGTTACTTATTGGTGCAATAGATGCATCAGATGTATAAATAAGCTCTATCCTAAGGTTCGGGATTGCTGGTTTTCTTGAATTTACGCTATTCTCTATTAACATCGTATATTCGTGACAATCAGGGTATCCGCCGCCAATTGCCTTCCAATAAGCAGGAATACTTGAGAACGGTAGGACATTTGGAAGAAAATTATATTCAAATAAATATTTCAAGACCTGTAAAAAGACTCTGGAGGCCTCGTAGTCACTATGGTTAAACAGCTGACTAATAATAACAAGGTATTTCTGAGCTGTACCAATTCTATCTCTTGAATTTACTAATTCTTCAAGAAGATTCAGAGAAATTACTTCGCCCATATGCAAAATCTGGTTGATTTGAGGCGTCTTAACCAAACAGTATCCATCTGTAAACGCATAATAAAATTCTTCGATTGGTATTTTTTTGAATTCATTGAAAAACAACAAAGACGCCTGTCTTGCAACTTCTTCAGGATCCATCTTCGCTATAGGCGTCGTTGGATTGAAAACTAATCTGAAATCGCTAATATTTGGCATCTGAGTTGGTTCTTCCTTTAAAGGACGGTATTTTCCAGGTGATATTTCTTTGAGTAAGAATTCTATATTAGAAAATTCATGTTGGAGATCAGTTGTCTGCTGTTTGGCTTCTTTTACGAAATCAGAAATCGCTTGTAAAACTCTGATATCAATAAAGGTACCGAAATAGCGTATCCAGCCTGCTAATAATGCAACTGTAGAAAATTTTAATTGAGCGGAGTGAGTTGCAACAAAATTTTTCTCATCTCCAAATAAATCGGTCAATTTATCGGAATTGTATATCGTAAGTAGATGATGTAAGAAATGTTGAGATGATACGTGAATTTGTAAAATGATGAAAATGAGTTCTTTGTCATAATCACTTAGATCTGTCAAAATAAGATTTGCAATTAACTGCGAAAGTCTTACAATTTTGGTATCAAGTTTACCCGAGCCAGTCTTGATCTTATACAACTCGCTAATAGTATTTCTCGAGCTATCAACAAGTAGTTTTTGGCAATTTTTTTCAGGGGTAGCTTGAACATAAATGCATCCAGGATCTGGTTGTATTTCCCAGATTTTTTCACCTTTTGAGGCGCCTAATGACGCTAAAATTCGGAGAGAAGTTCGTTCAAAATCTTGTGAAATATCTGAAAAATCCAAACCAGATTCGTATTTAAGAGTTTCAGCCGTATTGGCAAGTCCAATAGATTGTAAATGCTGATAAACTAATTCAAGGCAAGTAAATTTATTAAAATGTGATTCGCTTACTGTTTGTTCCGAAAATTTATCGCTTGAAAACGAGAAACCACCTGTTTGGGGAAGCAATCTCTCGCGCAATGCAAGAATTGAGCTATCGTTAGCCAAAATTTGAGGGAGCCAAGGAGCTTTTTCTCCATCAGTTTCAGAATAATAGCTTGGTCTGTTTTCAACTTGCTGTTCTTGTGCTGGTTGTGGAGTTTCTGCTAATGTCTCTGTATTTTCTTGCATCAAAAATTATATTGTGAAAAAAAAGTGTTATTTTTTATAGGGGCAATTTGGAAGATTTAGTAACATTTATTAATATTTCCGTAATAAATAGAAAATTGAAACATTTTGATATTGAACACGGAAATATTATTATATATAAGGAGGAATTTCAAATCGCATTATTTTTCAACACGGTAGTTGGAAATAGCTTTTATAGGCATTCTACAATAATTTGACTCAATTATTTAAAACTATACAGTAATTTGCTTTAGATAGAGGTGTATCAACTAAAAATTGTAAACTGAAAAGCCACTTTTTCGCACTTTTCCCCTCATTTTCGCCTGACATTCTATCGTATTTTTATTTCATTATATAATAACATTATATAATCTTTAATTAGTTGATAGCCTCCCGCCTGACATTTGACGCGGCAAATTAGAAAAGTGCAAAATTTTTATTATGAATGGGAATGCGAGCTTTCATAGAGAAACCTTCTTGAAAGAACTTTTTATAGGCAAACAATGATTTCAGAATCAAACTATGTTTATAAGTCTTTAATAATAGTCCTTGAAATTGAATTTTTGAATTTCAATTTAGTGGATGAATAGTATTTTCCTTTTATTAGTTCATACTCAGAAATAATTTACAATAATATTCACTTTATACCACATAAGATCCATCACAATTGCCAAAATCTATCATTATAATATTAAAAACATTGAGGCTATAATTTTGGCATACACCCTTCACAACATGGATTATATAAGTCGAATTTTTCCAAAAAAATAATTACTGAGCAAATTGTATATTTACCATAAATTATCTTGTTCATTTGATTAAGTTTTTGACAATATAACGCTCAATAGTGCGAATATAGCATTTTAAACTTGTTGAAAATGTTTTTATGCATAAATAAATTTTTATAATTCCAAATTCTAAATAATAAACAATATTTATCTACATAGGGTGCTATCTTGAGAAAATATATTATTATAATCAAACTTTGTAGAATTATTATTCCTTAATATAGGGATATTATTTTCACGAAATATCAAATATCGATAATCAAAGTTAATACTTATCCTTTTCTATCTATTTATATGCATTATTCAATATATAAACAGGTAGATATTGAAGTATTATATGAAATTTGATCTAATGATCCAGAAAATTATGAGGCAATATATGTGTACAACTGCATTATTAAGGTGCTCTATGGATGAATATTAAATGTTGAAACAAGCTTTGCTTAGATATGATGGTTAGAGTTGATACACTTCTCTTTAGATTGTTATTTTTTACTAAGGAGTTCAAAGTTGAGAAATAGAATTCTTTCGTAACAAAACACAATAAGAATGTTCTGAGTTAACTTTGATAAAATTTTATTGAAATATTGCATTAGATTCAACCTCTAAGAAAATTGATTAGAACTTTTGATTCATGCAATTTTCAGAGACATATTGTTGAATCCAGTCTTATAATATCCTCAATATTTTAATATTTACAGAATTCTGCCAAATAGTAATAAATGAAAATTAAACCAGATGCACTCAAAATGAATGAATTTTGGCGTTATTATTTTATTTATTTTTTTTTCATGAAGACAAAAAAAGGTAAAAAAGGGAGTTGGCGTCCTAAGGCGTCCTAGTGTAAATTTCTCAAAATTGTGATATTTACATCACATTTTTGAAAGGTTTATGGGCGTCCTAAGGGAAAATTGAATAGCTAGGGCGTCCCGAATTTTCATTCTAAGATTTAAATATATTATATACTTAAGTATAATACAAGCAATATAAAAATTAAATTTTTATTATGTTAACTTATAAGAAATTTTTTTGAATTATCGTTGATTTATTGTAATCTTTCCAGGCTATACTTTTGAAATCAACTTTACCTGTCATACGCATTAATGTAGTAGATGTCCAGGTGTAGCTATTATATCCCAGCAACATTGGTATTTTATCATTGTAAGATATCAAAATGAAGCGTTTTTTCAGATATAATTTTTCGTAAATTTTTCAAAAATAAGATGGTAAAAAAGCCTCGACTTGCTCGAAAAATAACAATTTTTTTACTTGTAAAAATAACCCTTTTACAGTATGGGCAGCTATTCAATCACTATTTCTTTTTCTAAAAGTATATTTTTCAAAAAAAATTAAGATCAAATTCGACAATTTCTTGATGAAAGCAAAAATATTACACATACTTCTAGATGCATGGGATAAAATATGCAATTATTCAATCAATTCGCATGATTTGAAAAAAAAAATCTAAATTTGATAAAAATGTAGAAATTTTTTATTTTTAACTTGAGATTCGATTTTTTTGATCCAATTTGTGATTTTTTTTTGATCGGAATTTCAATTAATTTGTTGATCAAAAATGACCTCACAATGTTTGATCATAAGTGAAGTCATCTTCATGGGTATTTAGAAATTCCAAGAGAAATTGCTTATTTCTCGCAGATGTAATATCTGAGAAAATCGAATTTAAATATTCATAGAAACCCAAATCATTCTCCGGTTCGAATAATTCATCTGTTGCTTTTTCTGTTTTTTCTATGAATTTTAATAATTTGATTAATAAATCTTCATCAGGAAGAATTATTGCTGCATTTGTGATAAAATTCCATATTGAGGTAATATGGCAATAATTACATTTATAAAATGTAATTTTATCCAAAATTTTTTGGCAAATTCGCATAATAGCATTAATATTTGAAGCTGAGATTAAACCTGTGATTACTTCTGTAACTTTTGGAAAATCATCGCAATTTAATATCTCTTTATATTGAATTGAGAAATAAAAAAAATCAAATGGATTCATTTCTTCAATTTCAAGGAGATTGTAAAAATTGATAGAAGTGTTATTGCAACAAATTGTATTTGCAGCAAAAAATATCATTTGCTCGATTCCATTTTTGGAATAAATTTGCTGGAACAATGTTAAATTAAAACAGTTGCTTAATTTTTCTTCATTGTTTTCATAAAAAAGTAACAAGTTTGCAACTGAAATTTCAAAATTTTGATAATTGCCAGTTATTTCAGTAAATATATATATTTGCTTTTCTTCATCTAAAAATGGCAAATATTGATTTGCAATATTAACTAAAGTTTGGGATAAATTGTTCCAGTTTGATTTTACAATTTGTGAGCACATTATGTAATATGTAAATTTATCCGCTTTGTAGGAATTTAAAATTGTTTGTTGTTCTGTTTCAGTTAAATTACTGAATTTTTCAAGATTAATATTGTGATAAAAAATAGAATCCTTGAAACATTCTGATATCTTTTCAATGTTTAAAACGGATGCTAAAAAATGTAAAAGAACTTCATCAGTCACTGTGATTTTTTTGAAAAATTTATCCCAATTCAAGCATCCAATTGATCTTTCTGTCATTGTACTTATGCATTGATAAAGTTGATTTAATGAATCCGAAGAATAATCATTATGCTTGACTAGTTGAGTTAGTTGATACAGACTGTCGTCAGCCATTTTAAAAAAATGAATAAAATTGTATAGTAAATTATATTTGTGAAATTTGTGACGCTACATTCAATCTAAGACCAATATCTCAAAGAATTCCTCATTTAAGTATTACTTTTCATTGTTTTTTAAAAAATATCTTTGCTTATTTGTTCACTTTTTTGACATTTATTATATGCTTTTTATCATATTTCCGATGATATGAATATATATTCTATATAAGAATGACGCTACATTCAATCTAAGACCAATATCTCAAAGAATTCCTCATTTAAGTATTACTTTTCATTTTTGATTCAATTTTCGAACGGTTTTCGTAAATTTTGCATCATTTCATTTTTTAATGGGAAAATCATATATTTAATCAAAAAAGAGCAAACTTTACAGACGAAAATAAAATATTTATCAGGGAACAATCTGATAAATACCAAAAATCAACATCGAGAGATGAAAAAACGAATATAATCAAACAAGTTCTTCAATATTTTAATATTAAATACGCCGAAAATGAATCTAAAGCTGTCAGAAGATATTTTAGTTATATTGCAGTTAAAAATATTCCCGCAGTTACTGGAAAATATCCTGATACAATTGTTCGCAAAGATATGCTTTATTCGCATGATCATACAAATATTATTAATTCAAATAATATTGAACGTTACTACCGTTGCATCGATCATTCTTGTCAAGCACGTTATTTAGTTAAAATTGAGAACAGTTCAGTTTCCGAAGATTTACAAAAGGAACATATACCCGAATGCAGACAATTTAAAAAGTTACAAAATGAAAAAAATGATCTTCATAAATCAATGACTCTGACAGAAATATACAATAAGGCAATGGCAAAATTTTCTGAAGACAACGGCACTTTTCAGCAGATTAAAAAATTTATGACAGAACTTGCTGTTGGTACTGATGAAAACCCATTAATTAAAGATTCATTGGTCAGGGAAGTTTATAATAAGTCCAGAAAATTTTCTGTTGGAGAAAAAATTACAGACGATGAAATTGCTAATTTTTGTTTAATAAATGGCGAGCAGTTTTTCATTGGCCATGATTTTCAAGCAAATTGTGAGACGATGTTTTTTGGTTTTGAGAAGGCAATTCAATTTGCAAAAGAAGCCACAGATTTATTTTGCGATGGAACTTTTAAAATTACACCAAAACATTTTCAAAAAGGACAGATGCTAACAATTATGATTTGTGAACCTTCAACAAATCAATATCTACCACTTTTATTTATATTCATGAAAAACCGCACATTTGAATCTTATAAGAAGGCATTTGAATATATTTTTACTGTCAAGGGTATTCAATTTTCAAAGCTAATTCAAATTCATTGTGATTTTGAAAAGGGAATGATAGAGGCACTTCAACAAATTTTCCCTAAAGTCCGTATAATTGGATGCCTATTTCATTTCAAACAAGCTTTACACAGGAAACTTGTAGCACTTTATACAAAAAATTTCAATACTTTACAAAATTCTTTATTTAAGCTATATTCTATTACTCCATTCATGTCTCATGAAGAATTTGTACTTACAATGCATATAATTAATCAAAATAAAGTTGATTCGATCAAAGATTATATTGATTATTTCAACAAAGTTTGGTTGCCGCACTACAATTTAATATCTCAATGTAATAATGCAATTGCAATATTCACTAATGATTGCCTCGAGAGTATGCATTCAGAATTTTCTTCGTTAAAACATCCAAACATTTATGAAGCTATTAAGAAGATATCTCAAATCCAATTAGATAAATATAACGCCATCAAAAATAACCAGAAGATCGAGCGCCATATAAAAACCGTTATCACTGATAGCTACAAAAATTATATTCTTGACTGCTTTCAAAAAGAACTTGAGAAAACAATTTTTTCTATCAAACAATACAACGTAAGTGATCTTTCTTTGGCTCAGAACGAGATTTCTCCATATGGTTCCATAGAATCGAGTTCATTGTTCGAAAATATTCCAGTTCATGATGCAGATATACTCAAATCAATCGATCTAACAGATAAAGATACAATGATCACTAAGTTTATTAATGAAAAAAGAGAAAAAATTATGGCATTATTTAATGAAACATTAAATAATCCAGATTTTAATTCATCCACTCCAATTCAAACTAATTTTGAGCAAGCCGATACAAATCAAGGTTCAGATGCTCCGATTTGCTCCGAAAATTCAAATATTGCAGACTCTACAGAAGTTAGTATACAAGTCTCGTGTACTGAGGCACTGCGTTCCTCCATACGCAATACTTGTGAATTTGACACTTTACAAAACCGTTAACGTATATTTTACAACACAAACACAAACACCAACTTAACCTTAAATATTTATAAAGCCGCCAACCACTTCACCTTACTACTGTAAAAATAAACGTTCTCACTTACAAAAGTATTGCAACTCTTCCCATTGCTGTGCTTCACACAATAGTTCATATTCTTCAGTATCGCTGCTGTCGCTCCAATCGTCAGAGTCAAAGTCACTGTCAAAATAAATGTTAGTAAGTTTTGACAAAGCTAATGAAACACGTTTACCGTTTGTATCGTATGCTTGTATAAACTTTCCATTCTTCATTCCTTCATAAACGCTCAAACTAACTTTACCCTTTCTCCCTCGTATCTGATAGAATGTATTTTCACGAGGAACAAAGAACAAATTCTTGAACTCATGACCGTTGTAGTTTGTTATCTCAATAGTTTTCGTCATTTACATCCAAATAAAATAAAAATAAACTTAAAAAATAAAATAAAAATTAATGATATCACCACCCTCACACGTATGAAAACATAGCACAAAAATAAATTTAGGTGAAGTGGTGAAATCTCACCTCTTTTTTCACCTGTTTTTTCACCCACTTGAATTCATTGCTTTATAACTCTCTTCCTTGGTTTCTTTTTAGTTGCTTTCTTCACGTCTGTCTCCAACTTGACTGTCTTTCTTCTTCGTCCGTAATGATACCAGTTACTTCCACCAGTCAATGGGTCAAATGGTCTTTCGTAAGGATTTCCATACATTCCATAGGGACCATACGGAAGAACTACTGGTGGAGAAGAAACATTTTCTTTAGTTCCATCGAATCTATTTAAATGCATTGTTTCACCTTTCATCTGGTCATTAAAGTCTTTTGCGTGTTTTGCAAACTCATCGTCCTTTCCTAAAGCATTTTCTGACTCAGTCGCAACCAAATTGGATGCTTTATTTATGAGCCCTATTTTATTTAATCTTAACTTCTTTGCAACCCAGCCTCCAATCTTTCCTTTATTTGCATCTAATGTCTTCGAAACTCTTCCTCCACTCATTTTATTTACTGCGTCATAAGCCCAAGTGCTTTTGCTCCAAATGCTAATGCTTTTGTTCCCATTGCGCCTAAAGCTGCCCAAGCTACCATTTACACCATATTAAAATCATCTCTCTTCAATATTATCTCATAAAAGTTCTCGTTACTGGAGAAAGTCAATGAAACATAAACATTCTCATTCATAAACTTCTTTCTTATCTCATCTATTCGCTTCAAAATGTCTGAACAATTGCTAACATCTTCTACAACAGTTATTTCATCATGAATGACCTTCAAGAACAAGCTCATTTAATATGCAATTAAAATCATCTCAATAATGAGTCCATCCTTTCCATCTTTAGGTAGCACAACATCTTTCATTGAAGAAGGTTCGACAAGTCTTATGTTAAACTTACTGACAAAGTTTGTTATACTATAATGCTTCGGCGGCGAATACATGTAGTTTGAAAGACATAATATAGATTCTTCAGCAAATTCACTTATACTGGATTTTATAACAATGTTCTCACGAGACCAAATACCACCAATTGACAATCTTGTAAGCAATCCTGCTGAACCTTCTACTGTAAACGTCGATGGTAACATTCCACGAAGGTCATCTATTGACATCTTTGAGTCACTGAATTTAAATATTTTCTTAAAGCAATCGTCATTATCTAACCATGCAATAGCTTTGAAGTTTTCATTCGAATATACATCTGCTTCATTAAATGTAAAACCTGACTTCTTTGCAGAGACGACTTTAAAATCTATTGAGTTTGTTTCAAAATTATATGCTATGGTAACTTCTGAAGGTAATGGATGCCCTTCCGCAGTCAGTTGTTCTCTCACTACCGTTTGAAGCTTTGTGTTAAAAACTTTCATGTCATCTCCTGTGTCTAGGTTCACATACACAGCAACAGGAAAACTATCTTGCTTCTTTGTTTCATCATTATACCTCAAAACATTAAAGTTCTTCAATAATATTGTTCTTCCTGCTGGAATACTTCGAACCTGTCTGATTTCAATAGCTTTCTCACCTCCTACATACTCTACCCAGTGTCTTGGATATTCATAAGTATACTGACTTTCTTGAATTTTGGTTGGTTTCATCATAACGTGTTCATAGTATATCTTTATACTCTTGTCAGTTAGACTCGGTGCTATGTTCTGAATATTTCTGACTTGCATTTTTAATGGAGATAAAATGAAGCATTTAATACATGACGTAGATGAAGACATGAATGAAACTACAGACAAACTTAACTCTTCTCTCATTCTTCCTTTCAGTAAGACTATGAGTTCTGTTCAAATGGTGTGTATTTCTATTGTGGAAAGATGGGTTCAGGTAAGACATTTAACCTCATTCGTCATATACTCATAACAGAGCGTTTAGGAAACGACTCTTACTATGACCAAATCATTATATCAGCAACTTCAGACTCTATGGACTCAACAGCGAAAACATTTATGTCAAAAGTTCAAGCCTCTGTCGTTAAAGTTCCAGATAGCGAACTCATTGAATTTCTTCAACGTTACATTCGACGTAAGAGGAAATATTATGCCATCGTTGAATTTATACAGTCAGGAATGCAAAAGACTTCAGAAGAGATGGAAAGAATTATTGACAAACACCACTTACGTCAATACTCAGGAGTTTACGATATGAAACGACTGACAAACTACATTCTATCAAAACTTTCAAAATACCCCTTCAAAAAGTATCCTTCAAACACTCTGCTCGTTTGCGACGACTTCGCCGGAAAAGGTTTAGTGTCAAAAGCCAGACTCACCATTAGCTAACATCATTACTAAAGTCAGACATTACCACTTAACTGTAGCAATACTTATGCAAACATGGAGGTTTTTAGCTTTAAACATAAAACGTCTCATAACTGACTTCGTTATCTTTCAAGGTTTCTCACGCTATGATATTGAACTCATTTGGAAACAGTCAGGTATAACATTACCTTTTGAAGAAATTTGGGAAGCATATAAGTCTCTCATCTCTCCTCGTTCATACCTTGAGATTCATATCATGACTAATACCATTAAAGTCAAAAATATTCCATGGGAACGACCAACATTGTTTTAAAGTTTAACCTTCAATTGACTGATGGTAAACAAATTCCATGCATCTCTGTCGCCATTTCTGTTAATATTTTTGCTGTCATTCATATCATCCACTTCCCATCCGTTAGCTTTTGAGGATATGCGTTAGAATAGCTGTTCTTAAATGAAGGCTTTTCACCTTTGAGAGCATAAACTCTATAACTTTCTGCATACTTTATGTTTGAACCTCCTGAGCCATCATTGACATAAATTTTTATAGGCTTCCACCCTTTGTTCATGTTCCTGCTTCTTCCCTTAGCTCTTTTGTTCAGTAGTTCTACATCTTTATACACAGCTCCTGTCTCAGTGAATTCAACAATATTTTCATTCGTTAGCTTTACATTCAAACCCTTGTCGAGTATATTGTTCATTTCATACATATAAAAGGTTTTTATTCTATATGAAATGAGAAGCAAATCCATCTTAGCTGGTGCCGTTAATGTTCCAATTGAACCAACATCAAATGTTGACTCACGAACGACAAACAATATTGTCATAAAGAACTATAGTTCAGAGTGTTTGAAAGAAAGAACCAGACTGAAATCCGTGAATTTAAACTCAGCTTCAAACGCTAACGCTACATCAGATGTTAAGTTAGAGTATCCACCACTGGACCAAATTCTTTCAAGAGAAGCCAACGACAACCCTTACACAAATGTTCAAACAAATCCTTCAGATAACGTAGACCATTACCTTCTTCAGTTATACCAAACAATTTTACTCAAAGACGATAAGAAGCTTTTGACAAATCTTATAAGCAAGAACCAAATAATTCTAACAAAGGAGGACCTTGAAAATGTTATATCACGAATAACAGGGAAACAATGTGTCATTGACTATCTCGACCCTGAAATCGAATGCTGTGGTCAAACGCCACCATTCATGAAAATAGGTAACATCCGCATCATTGAAACACCAGGAACTACAGGAGTTGAGTTTAAGTATAAATATTCGAACGAGTATACAAAACTTTCAACAGAATATAAACTTTGTTTGAAATATGTTTTAGTAAATTAAAGCAATTTGTAATATCTATCCAAAACTTCTTCAACAGTATCGAACTCATCTTCATAATGCAAACCTAATCTTATTGACTTGGTGCAGTTTTCACTAACACAATATAGCGCTTTGCGCTCGGCGCCTTTGACGCCTTTTTCTGTTCTCTTGACTGACATAACTAACTCATTTGTTTCATCAAACAGCAACAACCAAAGTTCATGACCTAATACATAACATTCATACTTTATATTTTTAGCTCTGAGTTCTCTTGTAAGCTGTTGCATTTAATATTTTCTAAAAAGTCAACTTCAACAGTCATTCGCACTGGTGCCTTCAGTTCTACAGGCTCTCCTTGAAAGTCAACAAGTCTGAATTGCATGTCTTTCAAATTATGAGGACTAATGCGAACCCATTTACCTAAATGAGTTGCTATGACAGGAACGTTTGGAATGAACATTGAATTGACTGCATAACAGAAGGATTTATATTCTACTGAACCTTTACTATTAACTCCTGAAATACCTGTGACATTAGCTATTTTTGACTCAATGTATAAACAATTACCATAACATACGTATGGAACAGATTTCATCTCAATCGTTTTGTCAACACTTTTCAAAGGAAATGTCATATGGTATGCTCCCAGAAGCAATTGAACTCTATGACTCATTCGTGTTATCTTAAACTTTCGCATAACTGAACTTCAAAACTCCTGCAATAAGTTTAACATTCATTAAGTTTTCTTCGTTCTCCTTGTTTATTGTAGTATTTATGAGAGCATTTAACACTCCAGCTAATGTTTCCATCTTATATTCTACATTATTGTGAAATCTTATTTCGTGCTTCTTTCCATCTATTTCAAGCTCCATGAAATCTGTTTCATCTGTTATAACGAATGAAGCGATAGTATTGAAGTCAACAACTCTGAAGCAAGTGGCTTCATTCTGAAGACCTAAGTTTGTTTGTAGCTTTACTGTCCCGTATTCGTTTGGGTCTGTACTTTGCAAATAGAACAACATTTTATTCTCATTAAAATATGAGTATTGCTGCATATGCGTATGAAGCTGACAGAGCTAAACGTTTATATTTTGGTCAATACTCTCTCACACTTACTGACAAATATATTGTTATCTGATGGAAATACCGAGAAATACATAACATGGAAGGACTATGAAAAGTTTGACCCTATTTTAACTCCATGTACAATGCCATTCATTGTAAATGGTGAAGTTGTCATGAAGAACGACACAACAGTATATAAGTCTGTATATGAAGCGTTAGAATATATGTTGAATTATAATCCCGAAAGATTTGACCCAAGCACTACCATGTACAATGCCTTTTATTAAGGACGGTGAAATCGTAAGAGTTCCGGATTCAACGGTTTATACTGCTGTTCAAAACAGTTTACAAAACATTTTAGCGAATATCTTTAATTCAGAAACTACAGAAATAAAATTACCATATATAACAGATGCTAAAGAAATTAAATCAAAAACGACAACATTATTTACGTCACTTAATGATTTAATGACTTATATCATTAATATTCCTGCACCAACTACAGCATTTGATCCAAACTCGACGGTTTGCAGTGTACCTTTCATAAAGTCGCAAACGGACTCTTTGAGTCCTGAAGGTCTTTCAGACCGAAGCGACCAGGGCGAAGCCCATGACAGTTCATTAATTTTTAAGGGATTCAACAGTTAATGAATCATTAAAGGCGTCATTAATGAAAATCATTGATTTTAACTCATTCACGAATACATATAATTCATTCATTAATGTTTCATATGCTTCTAAAGAAGGTGAGCCAAAAACTATCGATAAAGCGGTGTATGAAATAAAAGCATCAACGACGAAATTGAATTCGTTAACTTTTGACGGTGATAGTTTCGTTAATGACATAACATCGGGGAAAACAATTTTAACGAAAGAATATTTAAAATCTCATGTTAGTGAGTTCGTTGAAATTGAAAAAGAAGGTGGAATTAAGTTCGATCCACTGAATTTCATTTTCAGCTTAGCGAATGCGGGTGTTAGTTTCGCTGAATGGACAACTATACAGAGTGAAATAAATGCAATATGGACGTTTTTGGGGTCAAAAGCGGGAATGGGTGAGCTTGTAAATGCTGCAAGAACATTAGGTGAAACAGGAAATTTTGTAGATGGTTTTAAAAGACTTGTTTCAAATGTTTTAACAAACACAAAGAAATTATTTAGATATACCATACATAACGGACGGATTTTCGAACAGGTAGCAACAAACCCTCCGGTTATGGCTGCGTTGATGATGGTTAGAGATATAAAACCACGTAACGACGGGAACGAAGAACATGAACAACAGAGCCCAACGGGCTCAGAGCCACATAGTGGCGAGGATACTGGTCGGGTTATTCAAGACATTAAAAACGTGTATCCTGAAGTTATTGATTTATTTAGAGGAGTTAATGATTCAATTTCAAAACATTCTATAACCCTCGATGAAGAGAATAAATTAACAGATTATATATTCGTCATTATTGCAGAATTAATGAAGAGAATAAATGAAAAAGGAATTGGTGATATCATTAATGTCAGCGATGTAATGATGAAAAGAAATTTTGACTCATTATTTACAAAACCGAAAACAGAATATAGTCTTTATGACGTAATTACCGAATTAATGAAAAAGATTAATGATAATAAGAGTTCTGGCGGAAGAGTTGAATTAGAAGTGAATGATGTTAATGAGAAATTAGCCGAAAAAGCAGATAAAAACCACGTTCATTATATAACTTCAGACGAACAGATTATAACGGACTACCATGGATATTTAACACGAAGTGATGAAGCGAAGACAAAAAATGTTAATGAAAGAAGATATAAATACATTCGTGCTAAAGGTTATGACATAAGCTGTACTGTACAGTATGAGTAGTAAAGCACCAGAAGCATTTAGTTATAACGTGAAATTTATGCCTCTACTTTCTGTTAATGGTGTATTAGTTGAACCAAGATTTATGTTAAGAGTTAAGGCAAAAATAACGTTTGAAGATGCTATTAAAAGTAAAGCTGACAAAGTTGAACTTGACGCAACGAACAAAGTTTTGAAATCTCATAAACACAACATCTCCGATATAAATGAACTT